ATTGTGATTGGAAACTACAGGAACAGAATTCTTAAAGGTAGTAGCTTTATATTGTTAGATTGAGATAGATGATAGAAATACTCATTTTCAAGGCATGAATCAACTAAAAAAAACCACAAGATTTTTAAAATCCTTTCCCTCATTATAAATAATATTCATTTCTAACTGTATGATCTCAAAAAAATGTAAAATCAACATCGTCAGGCTCTTGTAGATTTGAAATTTTGTTTTGGTGAAAAATCTACAGACCTTCTGAGTAATCATAGGGCTCAACATAAACACTGAAGTAAGGACATGTAAAAATAGACAGATTTGATTGAGTTTTACTGTGAACAGATATAGAGATCGACCATACAGGAACATCCAACTGTAGATATGTTTCAGTATATCCATATGAATTTAGTTGTTCTGTTTCAAGCAGCGACTTATTTTGTCAGGTATAGATGCTAGGATTTTTTTTGAAATTATTTTGCTGTTGGTAGCTTTTTGATAAAGGATTATACTTATATAGTTTGGAAAATTAAATGTCATTATGATCATTGTTTTATAACCTTTTTTAATTACTAAATTCATTTGAAAATAGGGCAATCCTTTTTTTCTCATTTAGAAGACTTGCTACTAATGCCAAGAATTCTTTGTACCAAGTACAAAACAGAACAAAGTGTATTTGAATGACTTCAAAACTTCTGTGTTCACAAGACAAGCAGCTTTTCTTGTGAGTCAGTGACAGCTCTTTTCATAACAAGACACTTTCATGCATGTTAAGTATAAATTAGTGTTTCTGTTACCAATGACCTTGTGCTTACCAAGAGAAAGGGGCTGGTGGGAAATGTGACACTCTAAGGCAGCCTTGGCAGCAGCGATCATGAGATGGTCGAGTTTTGGATCCTCAGGGCAGTAAGAAGGGCATGCAGCAAGCTCACTGCCCTGGATTTCAACAGAGCAGACTTTGGCCTTTTCAGGAACCTGTTCAATAAGGTTCCAAGGGATAAAGCCCTAGAAGGCAGGGCCTCCCAAGACTGCAGATTGATATTCAAGAATCATATAATATCAAGGATGATATAATAGGCATCGCAGAAACATGGTGGGATGGCTCCTATGACTGGAGTGTTGGAATGGAAGGTTACAGGCTTTTTAGAAAAGACAGCCCTGGCAGGCGGGGATAGGGGTTGGCCTTTATGTTAGGGATAGGCTGGAGAGTATGGAACTCTGTCTAGGGAAAGGGGAGCAGTCCACAGAGAGTTTGTGGGTCAGGGTTAAAGGGAATATAGCTATGGGAGACATTACTGTGGGGATCTGTTACAGACTGCCTGATGAAGGAGAACCTGTGGATGAAGCACTGTATAGACAGATAGAAAAAGCCTCATCCTCACAGGCCCTTGTTCTCATGGGGGACTTCAACCACCCTGACATCTGTTGGAAGGACAGTACGGCCCGGCACAAGCAATCCAGGATGTTCCTCGATTGTGTGGAAGACAACTTCCTTCTGCAAGTAATAGAGGAGCCGACAATGAGAGGTGCCATGCTTGACCTCATGCTCACCAACAGGGAAGGGCTTGTTGGAAATGTGACGCTCCAGGGCAGCCTTGGATGCAGCATTCACAAGATGGTCGAATTTGAGATCCTCAGGACAGTGAGAAGATCGTGCAGCAAGCTCACTGCCCTGGACTTCAAGAGAGCAGATTTTGGCCTCTTCAGGAACCTGCTTAGTAAGGTTCCATGGGATATAGCCCTGGAGGGCAAGGGGAGCCAAGACTGTTGGTTGATATTCAAGGATCACCTGCTACAAGCTTAGGAGTGTTGTGTTCCAACTAGAAGTGCAGCAGGAGGGCCAGGAGACCTCCTTGGATGGATAAGGAGCTCCTAAGGAAAATTCAAATGAAAAAAGAGGCTTATAATAAGTGGAAGCAAGGACAGGCAGCCTGGGAAGAGTACAGGGATGTTGTCTGGGAAGCTAGGGACCAGGTTAGGAAAGCTAAGGCCAAGTTGAAATTAAACTAGGCGTATTAAGCATAACAGGAAGGGATTCTACAGGTACATTGCAAATAAAAACAGACTAGGGAGAATGTAGGTCCCCTCAGGAAGCTCTCAGGAGAACTGGCTACACAGGATTTGGAGAAGGCTGAGGTTCTGAATGACTTCTTTGCCTTGGTCTTCACTGGCTAAGGTTCTGACCAAACCACCCAAGTCTTGGGAGGCAGATGCAAGCACTGTGAGAATGAAGACCTTGCGCCCACTGTAGGAGAGGAACTGGTTCGAGACCATCTTGAAATCTGAATGTGCACAAGTCCATGGGTCCTGATGAGATCCATCCGCGGGTCCTGAAGGAGCGGGCAAATGAAGTTGCGAAGCCGCTGGCCATCATATTTGAGAAATGATGGCAGTCAGGTGAAGTTCCCAACGACTGGAAAAAGGGAAACATAACCCCCATTTTCAAGAAAGGGAAAATGGATGACCCGGAGAATTACAGATCAGTCAGTCTCACCTCTGTGCCTAGCAAAATCTTGGAGCAGATTCTCCTGGATGGCATGCTAAGGCACATGAAAATCAACAAGGTGCTTGGTGACAGCCAGCATGGCTTCACGAAGGGGAAATCCTGCCTGACCAATTTGATGGCCTTCTATGATGGGGCTACAGAACTGATGGACAGGGGTAGAGCAGTTAATGTCATCTATCTGGACTTGTGTAAAGCATTAAACACTGTCCCACACAACATCCTTGTCTCTAAATTGGAGAGACATCAATTTGATGGATGGACCTCTCGGTGGATAAAGAACTGGCTGGATGGCCGCACGCAAAGAGTTGTGGTCAATGGCTCAGTGTCCAGTTGGAGACCAGTAACAAGTGGTGTCCCTCAGGGATCGGTGTTGGGACAGGTCTTGCTCAGTATCTTTGGACAGTGGGATTGAGTGCGTCCGCAGCAAGTTTGCTGATGACACCGAGCTGTGTGGTTCGGTTGATACACTGGAGGGAAGGAATGGCATTCAGAGGGACCTTGACACGCTTGTGCGGTGGGGTGATGAAATTCAACCAAGCCAAGTGCAAGGTCCTGCACCTGGGTTGGGCTAATCCCAGGCACAGCTAAAGGATGGATGGAGAACTGATCCAGGGCAGCCCTGCAGAAAGGGAGTTGGGGATGTTGGTTGATGAGAAACTTAACATGAGCAAGATTCAGTGCACGCTTTCAGCTCAGAAACTGTGTGTTGGGCTACATCAAAAGCAGCATGACCAGCAGGTCAAAGTAGGTTATCCTGCCCCTCTACTCTTGTGAGACCCCACTTGGAGCATTGTGTACAGTTCTGGTGTCCTCAACATAAGGACATGGAACTGTTGGAGCAAGTCCAGAGCTGGGTCTCAAGGATGATGTGGGGCCTGGAGCACATGAATACAGGCTGAGAAAGCTGGGTCTGTTCAGCCTGGAGAAGAGAAGGCTGCATGGAGACTTCATAGCAGCCTTTGAGTGTCTGAAGGGACCCACAAGGATGCTGGTGGGGATTCTATGATTCTATGATGTTTCATTAGGGACTTTAGTGATAGGACAAGGAATGGGTTTAAGCTTAAACAGCAGAAGTTCAGGTTAGATATAAAGAAGTTCTTTACTGTGAGGGTGGTGAGACACTTGCACAGGTTGCCCAAAGAAGTAGTAAATGCTCCATTGTTGGCAGTGTTCAAGGCTAGGTTGGACAGAGCCTTGGGTGACATGGTTTAGTGTGAGGTGTCCCTGCCCATGGCAGGGATGTTGGAACTAGATGATTTTAAGGTCCTTTCGAACCCTAACTATTCTACAATTCTATGAAACATTTTGGAGTCACTTACAAGTCTGAATTTCCTGTACTGCTAATGTCATGTCTGTAAATTCAGACCTATCCTGACAGAACTCTCAAGCACCATGGTTCTTAGTTGCTTTTATTTTTGTCTTGGCTGTAGGTTTATTTCTACAACTTTCATCCACAACAAATCTTCTTCATGTTCCATAGCCTGATGTCTAAGCTACTAAGACAAATGGATTATAAATATCAAAAAGTAACTAATGCTGTTTGCCTTTTCTTGGTCCATGTGCGTCTAGGGACCAGGTGTTAACTAGGCAGGAGTATCTGGTCTTTATTTATCCTAAAGACCAAAAAACCCTTATTACACAGCAAGGAAGTGGGGAAAGAGAAGCTTGTAGAGCTGGGCTTCTGGACACTGGAAAAAGTTCTGCACAGAATACATGACTGGCTACGTAAGCTCACCTCTATTCTCTGGGGTATAAAAACTGCCGAAAGCAGCCGTGTTCTGACCATGTAATCAAAAAGTTACAACAGAGACTGAAACATCATTCGGGCCATTTGGGAACTTCTTCAATAGAACTTTCCCCCTTTTCGCCATGAAATTGGGCTTTGCAGGCTTGCTATTTATTTTATTGTTACAGTATACTGCTCAAAGACAACATAACTTAGGAAAGAATAGGGATCATATTATTTTTATCACATGAACAAATATACCTCAAAGAAAACTTAATCATGCACACCTAGCACTTACAAGAGTTATATGGATAAAAATGACCTGTGTAAAACTGCGTATTCTTGTAGAAAGAATTCAGAATTAACAGACTGTCACAAATAACATTCTGTACCATATAACTTGTGGTGAAATATTTATTACTGAAATCAATGAGAATTAAACTAAATCTATCAAGAAATGTTTTAACTACATACTCAAAAATTGTCAACTCAAGTAGATTTTTTAACACATCTGCATGAAGTGCATCTAAAAATAATGCCCATTTTCATTCTCTCAAATTGACATACACTCTGGGACCAGCACAAAAACTGACACCAGGATACAGCCTTATGGGTCTGATATTTGAGCTTCAAATTAAATTTTTCTAGACATCTGACTGGGTTAATTTTTAAATTGGGAAGAGTTGGAGGTACGCAATTTCCCTCAATCCTCTTTTTTTTTCTTTTTTCCCCCTTTCATTTCTTGCATTATAAGCATTTGCAAATACATTTAAAAAAATCATTCTTATGGAAATCTGTGATTACAGCTGTTGTTAATTTTTTATTTTAAAGGAAAGATTTTTCAGTTACTAGGGTTATATATTAAAGTTTTGGTGTTTTTTTTTCTTTTTTTTTTTTTTTTTGTACAATAGCACAGCAAGCATTATGGTTTTACATACATTTGTAAATAAAGGATATGCACAGTACATGCTGGTTGGTCACCTTCAGTGAAAGGTTTCCTGAAAACGAAATACCAGAATAAACCTAAACAAGCCAGGGACTAAAGTGTAGGCTAATGTAGAAGTCATATTAAGTATTCTTGGCAAACTGCAATGTACACAGCAGGCACTGCATGTTACTTTGAGCTGCAAACAGGGACACTGAAACAAGCCTGCTGTACAGCTGTTAGATTTTGTTTCAATAGATAGTCTGTACAGTATCAAACTGTATAAAAAGTTTAAAAACACAATGAGAATTATTTTATTTTTAAAAGTTTTTTATATTGTAAAAATTCTAAAATTAGGTCTAAACCACTATTAAAAAAGGTATGAAATGTGCAATTTTGCAAGTGGAATCAAGGGGTGTAACAAATGATCCAAGGGTAAATTAAGAGTTGCTTTGTGATTTCTCTATCTCCAGTATCTTCATGTACCTGGTAGTCACACAGACCTCAGAGTAGTTCTCTTCAGGCAAGTAGGACATGAGCTAAAAGTATTACCACTGATTTCAGTAGGGAAGATTTGCTGCAATATGGAGGAAAAAGCTATTTAAGGAACAAATGTACAGTACAGCCTATTTATGACAGTACTTGGAAAAGGCAGGAACAAAATTGTTTTCTAACTACAGAGCTGTGAAATCAGTGAGCCATATGGATCTGTAATACATGGCAGAATATTTTAAAATCCAAAACCTTCTTGAAAAAATACTGTTGTGAAAGTCTGCATCTAGACTAACATGAGTACTTAACTTGCGTTTAAACCACAAGCTGCAAAATTACATATGTTCAAATATATTAAAATTCATGTGACTCAGTATTTTAAAAGGCAGTAATCCTTTCCACCTACATCTCACAAAGCAGAGTGAGGAACTAACAATTAAAGGCAATATAAATAGTAGGCAAGATGAAACATGGCTGTAACACTATTCTTGATTCTTAACTGGCACTTAACACTACTTTCAATTTGACAAATACAGTAAGACACCTATGTTGACATACGTGTGGTGCACTTTTATTTATGTAACTGAGGTATTAAAATTGTCTTGAAAAGCAGACGCCTAAAGAAGAGAAAATTAGATAAGGAAGAGAATAGTAATCATTTTTTTCAGTCTTCAGTGATTAGTAACTGCTGGGTTTTTTCTTCCAATATCCTTTATTTATAATTTCCATGCAAAGTCTGTCTTACTCCTCCACTAGATAAGTATCTTGGGAAGACAGGGGGAAATCCACCATTTCTCAGAAAGAATTACTTATGCAGACTTATTTAAAATGAAATATAATAAGCTAAAAGCATGTGTATCTCACACGCTGCATATAATACACTTTTAATATATACTGTCATTGTACACAAGCATCTTGTAGACACTGACACCACCTTCACTAGGAAATCAAAAATCAATAGATAATGAACCTTGTGCTGCATCTTCTCTTCCTCGAACATAAATTTCACATGGAATCTCCTCCATCACCCTGTCTTCTATGACTTGCTCAGGGCAGTCATGCGCTTGTTTGAAAGTGTAACTACTTTTCTTGAATGTGCTGTTAAATGTTTTCATTGGCTGAGGCTGCACAAAGTCATTGCGGAAGGGAAGCTCCACGGAGCTGAGGTTTGTCCTGCTTTGTTTTGTATTAGAGGCCTGGGAGCCACAGTGATGGTCGTGAATGCATCTGGAAGCTGTTGAAGGGCGTCTCATTTTCTGGTAGTTTTCAAGTTCCTCTGATAAATCTGCCAGATCTGCTGAAATGTCTTTGTCCCGTAGTGAAAACAGTTCATAATGTGGAGGATCAAATACTTCCTGGAAGCCAGTTTTATTGAATGCAGTCTTGCAAGCCATAACCTTTTTGCGAGGCTGCTTTACTTGTACTAGAATTGAAATGATGAGAAGTACTAAAACTATTCCTGATGTGATGCCAATGATTGTTCCATGAGTTCTGGTAATTTGTTCAAACAATCCAGTTCTTTTCTTTTCTGCAAAGAAAAAATGAGGATCATGATATTATGATTTTTCACATTTTTGATCATGCATTAAGACAAAGCAAGCTGCACTGTGATTGCCATATAAGTGCTGTATTAATGGAATGACTTACTGGCATTGGAGGCTAAATCTGTGTGTCAATGAGATTTATCATCCTTGTTCAGCAAGTCTAATTCTCTGTCTGTAGTAGTGGCCCCTACACAGTATTTCAGTGGCGGGTGGAACTCTGTGGCCAGTGTAGACTGACTCAGCTGGGATGTGGCTTCAAGCCTGAAACTCTATCCATCAGCTCATATTCCAAAATGTACAAGTAGGCTTAAATTAACAGCTACAGATGATGTTTATCTTACCATGTTTTGCTCCTCCTGGTAACATTCCCATTGAAGTCAGTAGAAGGAAACCTAGATTTAAAATGTTTTTTTTTTTTTTCTGTAAAAGGGAAATCTATTATCATAATAATGATATGAAGGTGACTGTACTATTTGCTTTTATGTCTCTTGGAAACTGAATGACTGTCTATTATGGAATTCGGTTATATCTTTTTCAATACAAGGAGCTTTAGCATAGATGTATTCCAGTTTTAACAGTCCACAAATCAAGTCAAATGCACAAAAAAAAAAAAAAAAAAAAAAAGATGGGCTGGGGAGAACAGGCACAGACAAACTAACCTAAATCATATGGTACTTCATATGAAACACACAACATGGCAGCATCAGAACAAGATGGTTTTCATACTAAAAATTTGTATTTGAAGATTAAATTTTTCCAGTTGGATTTCAGTTCTGTAAATGTACTTGTCTGGCAGTGTTCAAGTCCAGGTTGGACAGGCCTTGAGCAACCAGGTCCAGTGGAAAGTGCCCTGCAGCCCCCCACTGCAGGGGATAGGAAGTAGATGAGCTTTAAGGTCCCTTCCAACCCAAACCAATCTGTGATTCTATGATTGTCCTAGCGGACTTTATAGAATTCTATACTGAGACTCTGCAACATCCTCTTCTGGGGGAGGAAAGCATTTAAGACTATGTAGAACAAAATACAGTAGCCTAAATGTTGCACACTATGGTCAGATACCTGGCTCCTGGTATGCACCTAAGTACTCTGCACACAGTGCTTGGAGAGTCTGTACCACCCTATACTGTTTGAAACAATCCGTATACTAAACAGACTCCCAAGGAGTTGGCTAGTAAGAAATTATGTCTGAAATACAGTTCTACTTCAGAGCATTGACTGTCTACTCTGAGTTACACTTGTATCTTTAACACGAAGGAGGATATGTCCCTTCTCCTGCTGTCATGGTTTAAACATGCCTAGCTTAGATCTCAGTGTTACCGTACACTGTGGGAGGTATGAATGCACTAAGGCAGTTTTCTCATCTGTGTCTAAGTTTCTTAATTCTCTGGTGAAAAAGTTGTCATGCAAAAGGCAATGTCTTCTTCAGCCTGTTTAAATAAATAACACACAACTGACTTTCCTATCAATTTTTGTGCTACTTGGCTTAGTTCACAATATGCTCAGGTTTTGTTAGCTATCAGTACGGACTACATGAGAACTCTGGGTGCTGCCAGAAATTTTACACAACTGTGAGAAGTTTCTTTTTAAGGCTAGATATTGCTTATTCGGTTACAGCAGCCTCTCTTCAGTCTGCCTACACTGGCAATACAGCTCCAGTCTTCAGCTGTCTCTTCATTATTTGCTGTGCAAGTATTACAGCAGAATTTAGACTGTATTCAGCACAAAGCATGGTAGGTTATTCAGCACCATATACAGTAATTTGCAAATACTGCGAAAGACATTTTCTTCATGCTGTGACACGGTTTTAATGGAATTCATTTTTTAAATACTGCAGTATGTGAGTGAAGTATGGATTCCAGGCAAGATTCTAGAAAATGGTTGGTAAAGATAGGAAAGAGATCTGGAAATTGCACTTTAGAGGGAATAATGAATATTAACAAAGCTAAGCATTGTTTGGAGGAGCTCACTTTTACATTAAAAACTTGGGAGTTATGGATCAGCTTTGTTAACTGGAAAGCTTCCAGAATATACATTGCATTTGAGTATTTATTAGCGATGTGTATTTATTTGTTTGCCCCAAATGAAATTTCAAAGTAAGGTTTTTAAGACATATTTACTAAATATTTAAGCAGGATTCGTGCGTTGAAAAGCCATCTGATTTCAAGATTTTCTGTAAAGAAGGTTTTGACCCTTCCTTCAGGGTCGATTTCTCTTTGAAATGGAGTTAGTATTTAAATGTTTCTGGAGTTATGTGTGCAGACCTATTTATGCCATTCTTTGTCAAAAAAAATCCCCAAACCAGCAAACAACCCTGTTCACATGTGCTCTTTTCTTGCTTTCTTTTACCAAGAGAAACTGTTGACCCTAAATTTATTTTGTTTCAACTCTGAAAATTCAGTGATTGTTGCAGCACAGATGAACATATTTGCAGTTTAGCAGAATAGGTTTCCTCATGAGAATTTCTCCTACAAAACCTGATACTGAGACACATTTTTCCTGTAGCTGTGATGATTTAAACAATACTCCTGTGCCCCGTATTCTAAAAGCAGTGATTTACATCTGTCCGTTTTCCATAAAAGATCACTCCTGCTTCCTAACCAATTCTTCCTACCTGTTCTCACACCATATGCAGCAGCTGCATTTACTCTGAGATATCCTGCGATTAACAATTTAAAACAAGTGTTTTAAAATTGTTTTTCTCTTTGAAGACTGTTGCTTGAGACAGGGTTTTTATGCTTGAAGGCTTGTCTGTCTTTTTCAAGCTCTGTATTTTTTTCTCTAAAAGATATTACCTGTCCCTACAATCTTGGCTTCATTTAAAGTTCAGAAATGGATAGGTTGCAACATGGCAAATACTAAATTCGATTTCCTATCAAGCCAACATCCTTTTAAAATAAGATACTTTATGCTGAAGATGAAGTAATATAAAGCAGCAGGATCAATATTCAAGATGCCTGCACGTCTCCTGAGTTTAAACAAAACATTTGGAACAACTTTCTGAGATTAGTAGAATAGCTGTCTTCAGCATATTTCCAGGAAAAAGTGATTTCATGACTTTCCTGAAGGACAAACTGACCAGCCTAGCTGACAAAGACTATACTTTGGATAATATTCACCTCTGCAGTGATTTTCGTCCCAAGGGTATGCACAGTTCTGAATGCCATTGCACACTAAAGAATTATTGATGCACATGTTGCTATGGCAGAAGTAAGTGTTGCCTGAGCAGGGAGCTGCAGAAGAGAAGAGAAAGAAAACATCAGGAATTTTCAGTAATCAATGCACAGCAATAGAACTAGTAAATTCCTGCGGTGTTTTGTTGGGTATTTTTGTTGTTGTGGGTTTTTTGTTTGTTTGGTTTTTTTAAACATGCATACTCATTTTTAATCCCTTTTTTAACACTTTTCTTGCAAATCACTAACTATTGGATGATCTACTCCTGTCATATGATTTCTGGCAAGGGCATTATCAATGCTACAAAAAAAATTCTTGCTCAAAATGAGTAGCAGATAGTCACATATCACAGATAATGGAAGAAGGCTTTAATACTTGCCTTTAAAATAATACTTTAATACTTTGCTTTAAAATACTTGCCTTTAAATACTTAAAAATCGTATGTTCATCCCCAGTTATGTATTTATTCAGTCTGCTGTGCATCTGCTATGCAGATGTTGTGAAGCTGAAGCAGTTCATGAACATATGCATTTTAGAGCCCATTAATATCTTAAGGCAAATCAGATTTCAGCTTGTGGAGGACTGTTTCAGTAATTGCACGAGATTTCAATAACTGGAGGCATCTAAGTCTTTCTTGCTTGTGAATCAAAGCTCCTAGATCCTCCTGTTAGAGCTAATGCAGGGATTGTGAGAGTACAGTTTACCTTTTTATCTATTTCTCTATATATAGTTAGAAATTTGTAGAAATAAATTAACTAGAAAGTTGCCCTAAAGATTTTATGTTTCTGTGAACATTTGGTATAGCTCCTTTACATTAAAAAAATAATTAAAAAATAGTAATAATTCTTTTCAGCATGTTACTTAATATGTGTGGGGAATTCTTTATGAATTGTGGGCACTATTCAAAATATTGATTTTCTCTTTGTCTTTGTAATGTGGTATTTTTTATTATATAAATGTCTATTATGAGTGAAGTCAGTTGTACATTAAAGATATATGGTAGGTAGATATTCTTTCTGATTTCATAGGAAGAATTTACTCTTGAGCAGTCTGGATTCTCTGAAAAACAATACAAAACCCAAAGAGTGCATCAGAGGAGGGTGACTAATCCTGAATAAAGCACTTCTCACTCCTTCTGTGAGGCTTCAGAGCCTCAGTGACAGAAAAAGGAGTAGGTAGGTTCTCCTGAATTTGGAAAGAAAGGTTGCACAGGTTTTACTTTGTAAAGGATAAATAGGCTCATCATTTAAACAGAATAGCTTAAAAAGGCTATGTATGCAATAGGCCATAACGCCTACTGAAGTATTCCTGACTGACATAAAGGTGGATCTATGAAATTTGTGTCCAGAGTGGTTGTCATGGATCCATGTGTATCTGCTGGTGTTCCAGTATAGATCTGTATCAAGTTGTAGTTCTTTTGGAGGCAGAGGAAAACTTATGATGTATGACACATTTCCTTTGTTTCATATATTTGGATGATGCATTCTGTTGCTGCTTCTCCATATGCCAGCACAGTCTCTATTTTACATTTCTGTGTAGTCTCCTTGACATTTTTGGGTATAGCTTTTTTCACAAGTTCATAAAGATAGGAGAAACAGACTTGATTTTCCTTTTGTTTATCTGGGGATTACTAAATCTACAAGTCACAAGGGCTGACTGGTTCCATTCCAGAGCTTCAAGGACGTAGCTGAGCTCATAACAGCTGCCTAAGACTGATGCAGTGTTCACAGTGTTCTTTGTATCTAGCATTATTCATGTACTGAATTGAACCACAAATCAAATACATGGATTTTTAACATTTCTATTAGCTGAATTAGTCAAATCTGCAAACAGCACTAGGTGTGTGTTAGGTGACTGTCATGCACAATTAGTTCATTTATGTAAGTCATTTAAGAAATATTGTTTTTCATGGTTAGCTTCATATAATTACAAATCATTAGTAAAGTAGAAAAGAAAAATAGCTTACTGACCTGAAAATAAGCAAAGATTCACTTTTTTTTTTCAGTTAGAAAAATTGCTTATCACTAGATAATTTAAAAATACATGAAACATTTTTCAGACACATACCTTTCAATTACCCTATCCAATAAAGATGGTATCTCAAGTTAGAACATAAATAAAAAAAAAACCACACACCTTTTCAGGTTTTCTTCTCCCAGTGACATTTGAGTTGCATTAAAATTGTACATTGGCAAAGTTATCTAGCTTTAGGAGTAGTTAATGTTTCAACCTCTTGCACTCAAAAAAAAAAACCAACCAAACCCACAAAAAGAACCCCCAAAACTTCAACAGAAGAAAAACCCAACCCCACTCCAGCATTTGTAATATAAATGGATAATTTCCCTGGCAAAATTCATAGCATTTTCTAGATTGAAAGCTGGATTAACTTGCACTACCACTAATATCAATAATTATATGGACAGAAATGCTACTGGAAAAGCAGTTCTCAAATTTGCAAGTTATGAATTGCAGTAAGCACCAGTTTTTAGCACAATATCTCTTATTAAATTGCCTCTTGTAGCTTAAATAATAGACTAGTTTGAGCCATGAAATTGTTTATTACTCCATCTAGGCAACACAAGCAATTAGCTATTTCTCTTAAGTCTCTAAAGTCTAACTTTTAGCTTGTGTTAAAATTTTACTGTTTTATGGAACAGAATATAAAATGCACTTGTTACCTATAACCTAAACTTTTTTGCAAGGTGGTGACCAGCGTCCCTTTCAGGACAAGCCACAGACATGTTAGTTTTGTCAAAAAAGGTATTTCTTTGAGAGCAGATCTGTACTACTTATTCTTCAAGCAGAGCCTTTTGAAAACCTTTGGCATAAGCATAGGTCTGATTTCCTGAAATGGCAGATAAGTTTTATTCAGCTCTCTCCATGCATTACAGATCTGCTCTGCAGTTCTGAACTTATTCTGCTTTAGTCCTGAAGATGCCACTTATTTTCAGGTTCTGCAATATGGATGATGTTGTCCTTTGTAAACATGAGAGGCAATATATTCCAGGCAGATCAGAGAGAAAGCACTTTAAAGATCTCACAAAAAGCACACTTTTAAGAAACATATTCATTTACAATGGGAATAAAGACAATCTATCTCCACCCCAGGCTGTCAGATCCAAACAGAAATCCAGTTTGCATTTACAGCTCTGCTTTTAATATAACCTTTTTAAATAGTTTGAATTTAACTGCTTATTCATGGTTGTGCAACACAACTGGACTTTGCTAAGGGAGCACATGTGGGATTGCTCCAAGTCAGGTGCAGCTGAGAAGGAGGTAGCAGCTTAGGTGTAGCTGGAGTGCATGTACTTCCAGATCTGAAACTGGAGGTAATTCCAGACACTGTGGGGTTACATGTGTTCCCTAGCCTTCTAAACATCCTGTGTGGGCTTGAGAAAAGCCTATTGTGGCAGCTGGCAGGGAACTGGAAGATGAGGGCTAGTGGGACAGCACACTTAAGTCACACTGCTGTCTTTTTAAAGTAAGTCTGTGCTCATTTGTATAACTCTTTGTGAGAAAGACATAGCCTAAGGCTTTATTATTACTGACTTGAAATGAAAAATAAACCTTCTAAGAGTGAAGGAAAGCCTTTCTTCAGGAACCATGCTTTTAACTATAATAAAGCAAGTATTTAATTTAGATGCCAGTACATGAAGGAAAAGGAAACAATCTTTTCATGTGTTCCTGTTGCATAATATATAGCTGATGCTTTTCCTGAAATTCCTGAAGTACTAGGGAGAACAGACTTTAAAATCTACTTACGATCCACAAATGAAGTGAATAGCATTCTGAATCTGCTTAGCCTACTGCCTTCGTCTGCCCACATCCGCACCACACCTGTCCCAGTCTGCAGCATGACATCATTTGCTACAGTACTGCAGAATTTTGCCTTCAGGTTTTCAATAGAACTACTTCCATCATACACAGCAACAAAGTTTCTTTTGCATTCATTTGAATGCTCCATTTGATAGTCGAGAAATCGCATATAAATCTGTTAGAAAAGAAAAATTAATGTCTCTGGTAAAAGTAATACAGAAAAGACAGTCTTAGCAAATCTTGGAGATGTTGTGTCCCCCTAAACACGTGTAACTCCCAATGCACAGCACTTTTAAGCTTACATTTTCACCTTAAATGTAAATGTGGAGTATTACTTGAAGTTTAAGTGTCTGTTTTGCTTCAACCCTCCCCAAAACAATGTTTACTTAATAATTTACTCTGATAATATTTCTAGTCCCCTTGGGGGGAAAAAAAAGGTAAAAACCAACACACTTGCTGAAGAAAGCCCTAAAGAGCTCTGTTACATGCACAGCCGATTACTTTAGAAGAGATATGAGAAACACATAAATGTGCTGAAATAATTTTAATGGTATTTTGACTGTTCTCCTTTCTTCTTTTTTAACTCCTAACAACAATGTTAAAATATGAGGGAAGGAGTTTAGTCAGAAAGGCTCTGAAGAAAAATCACGGAAATTAAAATTTGTTGCTTCAGAATGAAAGCTAATTACTGAACCATAGCACTGTTATGGAAGACACAAGCCATGAAGTCAGGAGTCACTTGAATAAAAATGGAAGCAGAAGAAAAGTAAAGGCTGTCTATCTAGGATGTGCTAATAAGCTAAACCACTCTCAATTCCTCTAAAAGCAGGAATCTAATTCAAGAGAGGGCAGTGTATGTGTTAGAACATATGCAGCAAGGAACCTGGAAGACCAACGTGGCACTTGGAAAATAAACAATTTATTTTGCTGGAGCAAGAAACTTATGCAAGATTGTAATTCAGCTAGAATTACATGAAAAATCACAGGCTTTTTTAATCTCTGGAATGGTTGTGTTTGGATTCTCAAAATTCTACGGGAAGTTAAATGAGCCGTGTAACTCTGTCACCTAGACATGCTGCAAAGGTCATCCTTAAACTTCAAAAATTCCTCAGATAGCCATTATTTTGACAGAGAAGAAATATATCCAGGTGAAAGCAGAGGTCTCCTGCTCTGTGGGAGAAGAGATACTTCTCCGCTTCAGCATGCTTCTCAGATAAGGCGTGGACCGGATGTATTTTGAGTTAGTACAGCCTACAACTACCTCTCAGGCTGTTATTACAGGCTCTAAGGACCTTTTGGGCAGTATGCTTTTTCATGCATCTGCCTAATGACAAAAATCTCCAGCTCTTGTTTCGCTTGTGAAGCAGGGAAGGCAACAGTAGATTGATGGCTTGGCTTCGCGTGCAAAGATTTGGGAAGGGCGATTAATACTATGCTGACAACTTTCATATTACCTATTTTTCCTGCCCTTTTGCTGTATCTCCCTTACAACCTCAGCTACAGCCAAAGTCTTTTGAAACAGAATTGTAAAGAATTCACTAACACAAAACCAACGAACTTTGTGTGGCGAAATAAAAAAATATTCCCCCCCCCAAAAACACACTTAACAAGCTGTATTGAAAACATGGTAAAATAGTGAGCACAGGAAAAGGCAATACTTGCACATCCTGACTTCTCCTTTCCAGTGTTTTCCAGAGGCAGGTTGCCAGCTCTGTCTCCCCTTGCACTCTATTAACAGGTGCAGCTTGTGTCATATTATCTCATGCTTCATCTCACTATTGTGTTATTTTTCAGTATACATTTTTTCTTCAGTTTTTTTTTTTTTACTCCTGCTGTCCTTGTTCTCACCTGCATTGAGAACTTGTCTTCCACTGAGGTCTTATCTCACAAACATAGGTGTGAACTGTTAAGTGCTAGCATATGAGCTGAGAGATGGTATTTTCATTTAATGATTGACTTCATGTATCTGGTGTGAAATTACAAGGGAAGTTAAAAATAAACTAGGACACTTTTAGTAGAACTATTCTCTGTATGTGTAAACATCTGTTACACAGATTTCAAAAGTCCTTTCATTGCTGCAGTTGTGTCAGTTTTAAAAATTTATTTTCATTACAAAATCAAATTGAGGAAATTAAAAATGTCTATGTTTATTTTTCTCAAGAGAGTGCATCATATCAGATCAAATGGATCTTATCATCATAATTCTGCCAGAATTGAAGCTTAAGAAGCTACTCTCAGAATACTAAGAGTTATTTTTCTGTAATGTTTTAGGTCTGTAATTTAGGATGCTGATCTAATCGCAGGACTGACCAAACTATAACTCTGCCTTCTGGCAACATTCAATAATTTATTAACATACTTAGGCATAAGACCTGGTGCACTCAAGTGGCAATGTAGGGTGAAAATGATTTTATTATTGTTTCTGGAAGAACTGCTACTATTGATTAGACTAGCGTAGGGCTCCTGGGAGTTGAGTCACTTCCTCAAAGGCTCAAATATATTAATAAAGTTTTAGTTTCTTTCGTGTCTTGTCCTCTTACTACCATCTTTTAGGTTACTGGTTTTGAACTTTTAATTTGGAAGTTGGTTAACAGGACTGGTTAGTTAACCATTAGGGGTATCAAAATATTTTTTAATTTTTATGTACATACAAGCAGAGATACGTGCTTTAATACACATACAGGAGCAAAATGAAAAATGTGTATACTATATGGAGAAAACAGTATGTATTCTTCAGTGCAACTCCTAAGTTATATTAACCATTCTGAAACACATAGCTATTGTTTTTTGTTGCACAGGTTATATTTGGAATTATGAATAGAATTTTATCCTTCTCCCTAACAATAAAGCTCAAGTTGTTTTTAATGAGCATGATAGTGGTGCTTTTCCTAAGCAGTCTCTAGTTCTGTAGGCACAATCACAAACACAAGGCACCCAGGTAATGTATGCTGACTTTTGGCTTGAAAAGCTACTATGCCCCTTTAGGGCTTGGGCAGAAAAGCTCTAGCAAATTTTATTGTGTCATTTTAAGAGGGTGTGATCCTATAGCTAAGTCAGAAAAGAACGAGTGACAATTCATCAGCTGCTTCCAGCTAGAGTTTTTCATTTTAGCTAAAGCTACTGCTGAAAGTGAGGTTTAAGGTGCTGGATTGTGAATTACACTTGGGAGAAGCAGGTACGTGTTCTTCCGACTTTGAATAAAACCAAATTTTCCAATAGAAATGCTGGAGGCAAAATTTTTAAATGTAGCATCAAGATTTAAGGAAATTTATCAAAGCTGATAGCTAGCATCTTTGCCTGCCATATTCCAACAAAACCAGAGTACAAGTCAAACGCCCTTGGAAATTGTTGCTTGAACAGTGTCTCGTTATTTTGTATTTTAAGTTTCAAATAATAGGAAGACAAGACTGTGGACTTGTTCTATAAATTTAATTTCAGGAGCAATCCTCTATCTGGATTTCCTAAGGTACTGATAAGTAATTTGTTTCACTGAAAGTGAAACATTATGCAAATCACAGCTAGTGACTATTACCTGTTACTAATGACTTGGAAACTCATTATATGTTGAATGATATGAATGAAGCCCACCTTAGCATTTGGAGTAGCTTTAATTGTCCATATGCAGTCAACTGCTTGTCCCGGTTTTGTTTTTCCTTCCTGTTCTACTTGACTAGAACGTACTATTCCATCAGCTCCTGAGAGCTCAAACTGGCAGTCTAGGGAGAAGATATACTTTGCAGTCAAATACAGAATATTAATTTAAAATTCAATGTATAAAGAAATTGCTACTGTAATACTAGACCTGGGATGGGATTTAAAATACCTCCTAGGTAAGTGAAGTCAGGATCTGTAAAAGAAAGAAGTCATGAATCATATGGGCTATACGTGCTTGAGAATCACTTCAAGTTTTAGTATAAGCTAAAGATTACGTCTATTACTATATCACAATAAAAATTGTTTACTGAATTGATTGCAGGGTACAGATTTTTTTTTTTTTTTGAGAACATTATTCCACAAAGATTGACCTGATCTGAATAAGGTAATGCTATACTGACAGCACAGATTTCCAGCATAACAGAAAAATCACTATTCGGTACATTGTTCCTACGTTACATTCTGAACTTTTCACTGAAAATTTTAACTTTTTTTTGAACTGGGGGGGGGGGGGGTGGGGGGTGATATGTATGTGCATGTCCCCTTCCATTTTTACAATCCCAAAATATTTTACCACATTCCATGCAGATGTAGAGAAAAGAAAAGGAAAAAAATAATAAACTGGGCCTTCAGTTGCTACAATCTATTGCAAAAATAATATACAGTATATTTTAAGTTCCAGCCTGGAACTAGGCTAAGTTAGTTTTGACAGTGATGCTAATGAAATGGCTTTGGAAATGAACTTAACAAAATGCTTAAGTACTGACCCTATGAAAACATTTTAGTGTGTTACTCTCAGTGGACTCTCAGTGGTCTTCTTAATCTGAAGTGTTTCCAAGTCTAAATCCCTAGTAAAGTACACAGTTCTATGAGCAGTAAGACATAATCACGTACAGTGTTTTCATGTGCTGTGGGAGTAAAGACCAGTTGAGTAAAGGTGACATTAAAAAGTTATGTCTGTGTATACATTTATAGTAGTAGTAAAGCTGACATTTGTATACTGTCTTTTGTCCCATAGGACAATAAAATGCTGATAACTACACATGTAGGATTTATGAAGTACAGCAGTCAAGCATTGCACAAGGACACCAGGTCAAATTTTCCCATAAAAAGAATATCCTGCCAGTTTTAAGTGGCCCCATAGAGCAGATGTACTTTTGTTTTAATAAAGACACTCAGCATATTATCTTCTCCTCCATACCCTGTAAACTACACAGTACTTTAAGCAAAGAACAAGTCTGTTGTCTGAGCCTGTGGGTTGAGAGAATCTAGTTATACTGGGAGCTGATGCTTGGACTGTGTAGGTATTTCCTCTGGCTTTTCAGAATGGAGATTTAAAATGCTTTGCATATGGCTGGAAATGCTACTGTAGATGTGCTTCAGGTGTTTTTTTTTTCATAGTATCTTATATTCTTCGATCATAGGTTGTTGGAAACGTCAGCTATTTGTCTACATAAATGCTCTTTCCATTACTAACACTGGTGAAGTACTGGTACAAGTTAGAGTAGTAGCAAAGAAGGAAGTTGGTAAAGCCTTCAGCACAAACAAGACCAACTGACTTCTTCTCTAGCAAACTGTAGACCTGCAATTTCCTTCAGTCAATTTTCAAAAGTGGTTTTAGTTCAGTATGCTGTAGGATTAGCAAGATTGAGTCTGTAACTACTGCATTGTCACTTTGCCTTCATAAGCACTTAGGAGGAAATACACAACTCTAGACTGCCAGCATAAACACATCACAGAATTCCATGGGAGGGGACAGTCATTAAATCAGAATGTTAGGCACCTTTACCTGGTATAAATGAGTACTTTGCTTGAAATCCCTTTCCTTCCAGCTCCTCATCAGAAGTAAACTTGATCCACATAAATCTCCCTGTTGATCTAATTAGTGTCGGACTTTTCAGACCACAGTAACGATTAATGAGAGGGGAGAAACCGAAGGGTCCATCTCGAACCTCCAGATGATCAAAGCGACATTCAAATGAAGGTTCTATGTAATAAGGTTCATCAAAGGTCAACTCAATTCTCTGTCGTGGAGCAGCTAGACATAAAAAATCAAGCAAAAGATTAAATGAAGATCTACATAAAAAACAAATGAAGACATGAAATAATGGACAGGCCTCCAGCTACAAAACCTCAGATATGCTTTAATAATAATAAAAAAAATTACTGTGTCAGAGATCTTTTTTAAAGGAATTATTTTTGCTTGCTGATCTTTATTGTTGAAAATTCAGAAATAAGATACATTGAATTCAGTACATGTAACAGATACTAACATATATGCAAAAGTATTCAGACAGGGTTTAATATTAAATATAAATTAAAATCAGCATTCTGTGAAAGCAAAGTACATTAAAAAAGGACAAAACATTGAGGGATACAGAAAAGAATGGAAAAGAAATAAATATGAAGAACTACTTACTGGTACATTTCCAAACCATTAAACCTAAATCTGGAGATACTTTGGCAGGAGATATCTTTTATTAGAATATTCAGAGAAGTGTAAATGCTTCATATACATTATTAATATGCAGGTAACTACTAAGTCTGAGCCAGTGGCAGTCTAGCATCAGGACTTGGATCCCTCAGTCCTGGGGAGATGCAGCTATGGCTACCTTGTGACCAGATTTTCACATCTGTAGTTCAGAACTGTGACTTTATATTGTATGAATGACTTAAGTGTTTCTTGTTCTTGTCATCTATTAAACTACATGAACTTTCAGATGCTAACTGGTTACCTGGAATGACAGCATTAAAGAACCACATGCTGTGTGGCTTCTGAATGCAAAAAACGATTTACTTGTATGTCTGCAAAACTTTGTTTAGACCTTATACATGAGTTAAAAACATTTGTAGCTGCACATACTGGCATAGGTCTACAGGAATATTTTAGCTAGAAATTGTGGAAGACCTTGGTCTCACTCAAGTAACCATGTTTCTGTATAAGGACTGTGAAGCTTTATGCCTCATGGAAACTGCCTTGCATCAGGGAGATCCAGCAGTCAATCTGATATGTGCCGACGCTGAAGCTGGACACATCTGCCCCCCATGCTTTCACCGGCAGGAAAGATGCAGAACTTCAGATGTGCATGCATAGAAGCAAAAAACTGAGGGTCTGTCAACCACTACTATACTGTACATATAAAACCTCACTGAAACATGTTACTTGAAATATTTCAATTAATTGCTATGAATCTGATCATTAAGCCAGCTAATGTTTTTAGCTAACTTCAGTGGGTTTTGGATGTATTCTAGTAAGAGGAAAAAATAATTAGTGTGTCCCAAGTCTTGCAGCCTTTACCCAAGATATTCCATTGGAATGTGGTTTTATTCTAGTTAATTAATTTTTTCTTTGTCCTCATCACATTATTTCAGTAGTGACTTCCACAGTGCTAACAAATCTCCGTATTTTTAGTACAGCTCCATGGCAGTCAGATGTGTTGTTTTCATTAATAAAGGACAGTATAAAGATTTTCTTCTTGTGGGATACACTTTGAATAATAGGATAAGGTCTCGTAAATGCTGAAGACAGTCTTCATGCATTTTTTGCTTTTTATTATCTGCAATATTGGAAGTGATATTAAGATAACAAGCTACAGTTTTAATTTCAGTAGTTCTGTGTCTTCATACATTACAGTAGATCTGACGCTGCTTTTTCTGGCTGTGAGGGTATGTATTATTCTATACAGCTAATTCCTGAATGACTGCATTTTCTATTAATCTGTTGTTATCAGTTCAGAGAGCAAATTCAGTTTCTTGTTTAACCAAATGACTGAAGAATTGATTATTTTACCAATATGGCTATATGGTACTTGACAGTATAGTAAGATGACACAGTTTTAACAGTTCAAGATTATCCAATGAACAGTAAGATTACAACACAACAAAAGAGAAAGGCAGCATGTACCTTCTAAGATATAGATGCACTCTTGATTTGGTGGGTACACATTAGGGTAGTTTGGTGAAGCAAAATGTCCTCCATTACTTGTCCTTACCCAGTTGTCACACTGAGTGGGAGGAATACGATTCATGCCAATATTTTGCCCACCTTAAGTGGAAAAAAAAAAAATGATCAAATAAATTTCTCCTGCAAACATGCAAGTTTGATTTTGCAAAAAAGTAAAACACCGATATAACCCATATCCTATGAAAGAAGAAAGTAATTTACTTTAGTTGAAATGCCTCTTCTATGCTGCTTGCTAATTTCTAGAAAGGAAAATCTTATGTTTAATTTAGTGATGTGGTATACCTTAGAGAGATCAGAGTTTCAGAATATCAAATATGTTGAGTAATCCTTGGGAAGGGAAGAGAGGGGGTAAATTTATTATTTATTTATTTTTTTTACCCAAGCCAGTTTAGACTTTTTGATGTTCTTCTTTCTAAGTCAAATAGAGTGGCTGCCAATACACCAGCATTATTTTACGGCTTATGCCTTCTCTATTCCTACACAAATAATATAATCAAAAATACTTGTTAGCTTTTACTATTTTTGCCCTGATTCCAGATTATACTGAAATATGTGGCCCTTAGGCTAAACATTTATTTACAGTATTTTTTTTAAATACAAAATGCTTAAACCAGAACAAATTATGATTTGTAGAATACATTAAATGCAACAATGGTAGCTAATGAAATTACTTGCAATAGCTAAGTTGCACTGGTAGCTAAGGGTCTCATTTAAGATGAAAGCTCTTCTGGATGTACAAGGAAATATTGTCCTTGACTGAGATTATGCAGTTTACTAAGCCCCTGCACCATGCTGGACCCTTTGCAGGAGCTTTGTTAGATCAGATTTTCTTATCCAAAGAGAAAGGAGCTGGGAATAGTATGATCTCTGACATTCTTCCCAAGTACCTTTGGCCCTTCTCCTTTTTATCAGCAGAACTGGAGCAAAACACAGGATATGTGGTTTCTGCTAGATTTTTCCTAAATCTTACAGGGTGCTCTCATAATGTTATTTATATTTAAATGGCTTAAATTTGCACAGCTTTGAGAGGGAGTCCATGCTGATACAGATCTTGGCTGCCTCCAGTAAATTATATCACCTTTCACTGGTATCTTGGCAGCTTTTGGATTTATGGGGGTGAAAACTTAGTCTTTCCCTCAGAAATTCTTCAAGGAAATTCTGTAGGTGTCAGTTCTAGGAATTCTTCTCTCCTAAGAGTGGCTTAATCCCACATGTAAGAAAATAAGTTCTGCGAAACCGATGCCTTCCCCACTCAGCAAGCTTCAAAAATGGTTGTGGGTGGACTATTTGAAAAGCTTGTCAGATACAGAAAACATGCATTTCCGTGGTGCTTTTTTTACCACTTCTAAGGTCTAAATCCATAGAATTTAAACTGGGTAAGTGAACTTCCAAATTCTTTGCGACTGGATGGCTTTGTTCAATTGGAAAAAAAAGTAGTAAATAGAGGGAAAATTGAAAATACTGGAATTCATATTGGTAATTCAAGAGGAATTAATATCTGAACACAAATACTTTCTTTCAGTTATATTGCTTACTTAAAAATGAGAAAACCATTACATTTTTTGAAAGAAAATCATCAAACCAAAATTGTACCTTGTGTCTTCTGTGCAACGGCAATCCCTTCCACAACAAAGATTGTTACTAGTAACACTGATGAGAGAAATTGGACAGGAAAAACATCAGTAATTCATCAAAATTATAGACCATTTTCTGCAGTCCTGATTCATGCAAATCCTATAAATTACTAACCACAACAACTCGGAACATATAAAAATACATAATGTGCTTTCTTAAAATTTCAGCTTTAGGAAACTAGTGCAGTCTAAGTGCAGTGTCAGTTTTTCCAGGTTCCTTAAAAAAACATATATAAGAATAGTAAACTTTATTGTTTGAGAGAACTTAGAATCATAGAATATTTACGGTTGGAAAGTAACTTAAGATCATCTAGTTCCAATCCCCTGCCACGGGCAGGGGCACCTTGCACTAAACCATGTCACCCAAGCCTCCACCCAACCTGGCCTTGAACAATGTAGAAAGGTCCAAGCAAATTATTGAAAGCCAGTATGATTTCAGACCAGATACACTAGAGAGAGCACAAAAACTACTGATCATGTTTTCATTGCATCTGTGATGCTGCTCTTCATCCCCATGTCCCCCAGTATGATTTCAGACCAGATACACTAGAGAGAGCACAAAAACTACTGATCATGTTTTCATTGCATCTGTGATGCTGCTCTTCATCCCCATGTCCCCCACTAAAGGCTTGAGAAGATCAGCTTGAGAAGATAAAAACAGCTGAGTATTTCACGAATATTTTCCAGATTATCTACTGATTTGCAAGCATTTTATAAAATTGTATGGTACCTATCTGTTATATAACTTCTATATCCTGAAAGAAGATGCTTTTCTGCTATATCGAACCATATTTATCCTAAACCTCCATTTGTGTAATATGTGCAAATGACTTCTGCAGCTTCCAAGAAATTAATCAGGACTACAGGAGACACTTCATGGTCTTACCCCTACATGGACTTTAGGCGCACAACAGAATTGTGCTCATGAGACTGGTGGCTGAGATGCAGTCACAGTCACACAGAAATTCACTGCTTTCTGTGAATGATGTGGCAGTAGAAAACAATCAGACACAAGTTCTAACAAAGAGACTTACCCTGAGCAGTCACAACAGCTAGGACGTGGACACTGTTAGGGTGTACACTGCTGCAAGCACTCTGGTTTGATGGAGTGCTGCTAGTCTCAGGTGTTGACAGGCTAGTGTTTTCTAGATTTGAACTGACTAAATATTAGACCTGTTCAAGATTCTGTTATAGTCTTTCCTCTAACCCTTTTTCTTCCTTTCCTAAAAAGAAGCTGTCTAGGTGATTTTGTATTTGGCCTTCACCTTACGCTTATACTTCTCTTGCACCCAAGAAGCATCAGTCTGAACAGCATGTAGTGAAGATTCCATATTCCACTAATCATCAAGAGTTACAAAGCAAGTTTAATATCTAAATTTTTCGAAAATGCTTTGTGCCCTCAAATTATTAGGGATTTCCAGGAAGGGAAAAGAGAATGAAGTAGAGTATATTAATTATGCCAGTCTTCAAAACTTTCACTTGCTTCTGTCTTGAGTATCTCTACAATTCTGGACAGGTATTGGAGAACTTGAAAAATAGGGCAGCACACTGTTCTGCACAGTAGCTGGCTGAGGGGAGACAGGATACAAGTCATAAAATACCAATGGTCCTTGAGATGGTGAATAGCGAGCAAATACTTGTTGTCTCTTCCAGTACAGGAACTAGGGGTATTAGACAAACCTAAAATGAGATTTTTTTTTTTTTTTAATGCTTATACTTCATAATACATCCTTGAGCTAGAAAATCCTGTTTCACAAACCCCTTAAGTCTTAAGTTGTTGGAACTCTGGGATACTATTTGGTAAAATATAATTTGCTCTACTTTTATACTCTTTCTGCTTTTCTATCTCTGTGAAGAAAGAGATCCAGACTAGATGGACCTTTGATTTGAGCTGGTGTGGCCTTTCCAGTGTTCTTAATCTACTTGTTAATACTAAGCCAGACAGGCACAGCCTTACCACTGCAGGGAAAAAAAAAAAAAAATCAGCAGAATTTTATTATCACATCCAAGAAGTCCATTTTAGTTTTGCGGTTTTCCCCTCTCATTTCTCAGGCATTTTACTGGCTCATGCTGAAATGGCATTTTCTCTATGATTTTCCCTGAGTTGCTGTTAGACTGAGCCCTTCAGAAAGTTCCAGAGTAAGCAGGAACTCACTGTGCGCTACAGTGACTTCAACTGAACACATCTAGATGCAATGTTGCATCTTGGCATAGATACATTATCTTGGGGAAAGAAATCAAAGTCTGCCCCTGAAAGTGTTCTAGCATGTGCGGTTTATTATGTTTGTTTCTGATGCCCTTTTTCCTCTCTCCCCATATTAAAACAGGCTGCACGTCATTGTACCACTTTCCTCCCTTGTACATTGAGTTCACAACCCTGAGTGCTCTAGAAGACCATATTGGTCTTGCAAACAAGTGATATGTTCCCAGAAGTTCATTTGATTTTTAGGGATGGATTACGAGGTAGTAGGTTAAGACTTAGGAGTATTTGCAATAATTCCACATTCCTAATGTACTGAAAAAGATACTCCCTGTCCCAATATAAAGTATGAATCATTAATTGTTGCTGGCACACCCTAGATTGAAAATTCATCCTTCAGAAGAAAGTATCTAGTACCCATTATTGGTCTTCAAGTTACAGATGTTCTCTTGTCTTTAAAGCACATAAAATAAACAAATATCACATCTTTATTAACATATGAATGACATTAGTTTTCAGATATTTTCATTTAGTATTTCTTCTATAGAAGACACTATTTCAAAATTATTTGCCGTTTATTTTTGCAGCTTCTGTGGTTAAACTGCACTCAGAAGATCACAGTTTAAGTGCATAAATTTGTACTCCTGAGATCACTTGCCCCTAACAATCTTTACAGTGATTATAAAGTTGTCTATGTATTTTCTTTGCGTTTGTTTTGGGGGTTTTTGTTTTGTTTTGGGTTTTTTTTGTTTGTTTTTTCCCCTTTTTCCCCTATACTGATTTTGGAGCAATACTTCAAAGTTGTTTTTCTTATTACTGAAGTAAATTCAGTTTCCACATGTAAATGCAGTAAATGTGAATGAAGCAAAGTAAATGCAGTTTCCTTTGCAAATCACGTGTCACTATGTTTTTAAAGAAAGATGCGCTGTGCCCACCCTCTGTTTTGCGAATATATATGCAATCTCTATATACTTGTGATGCTTCTAAAAATGTGAAATGGATTTTGTCTTTTTTTTTCCTCAAAGCAAACAAACACAGAAATGTGAGTAAAATAAATATTTTACTGACTAGCAAAAGTAATGCAGATAATTCAAGTGAAAAATCTAGGGGTTTATTGGTTTGCTTTGTGTTTTTCTAGTAAAGCTATCTACATTGCTAACACTGTTACAGTATACCTTTTTTTGTTTTCTTTTTCCTCTTTAAAATATCAGAAAGCATCTATGTTTATTTCAGTGATTGTGTTCTCTTGTACAGATAGAGACAGTAAGAACAGATGTTCAGTTACACTAACCAGTGATTTCCCTTCTTAAAATTATGTGGATACAAGAACAAAAAAAGTCCTAAAAGGAATTGAGAAAATCTGACTGGCTTTCACCAAAGAAAGACTGCCATTTCTATAAATAGTCCAGAATATGTGTGTGTAAGTACAAAGGAATAATGCATATTTCCTGCTGAAAAGCATGGATATGCAGGTAATTATGGAAGATAAATGAGCTGAATATTTGCCTTACTGTCTTCCTTTTGTCATGTTATATGGATGAATGGATGTAGTAAGAATGAGCTGCTACCTCTCTGTTCGCTGCCCTTTTCAGCCTCTTAATTTTTAATCTCTTCCATCTCTTTCCTTTCCTTGGCAATTCCCATCCTTCCCATGCTCTCAACAACCCTTAAGGTGTATTCAAGGCAGGCAGCAAATGTTTAAAGGCCTTTCTTTGCTATTAGTTTTATCCCAGAGGATAATATGATAAAGAAAAGAGGTGTATCTGACTAATACTCTGTTTGTGTGCTGTCATTATCTCTGTGACATTGGTAGCAAAGGGGTGGAGAGAGGAATCATATGTGTTCTTCCCGAAAACACGGGACAGAAGCCTGAGGGTAGTATTGCCTTAAACATGCGTTTACACAAAACAGTATAGGATAACAGCCAGGGGGTTTCTGGCTGAGAAAACAAGGCCTATTAATGTTCAGGATGAACGGAAAAGAAAGAAGGGAAAAAAAAGTCAGGATGTTTTTAAACTGCTCCATTAACCCATTTTTGTGTGTGTTTTAAAAACAACAAAGCTATTGCTTGGTGTTCTATATCCATACCACTTCCTGGAAACATATTTTTGATTCTCAAAGACGAATTTGGATTATACAAGTCAGTAAGAAGGAAGGAAGATGTGTGAGAAGACCTAGATCATGTAGCATGGTACAGTGAAGAGCTAGTGCTGAACCACTGTCCTGGACCACTGTCCTGGTACTGTATGTGGGGACACAGACACAATTAGAACAGACATGAGATCCTGAACTACTTTCACAAAAAGTCTTGTAGCACTTTGAGAAGATGAAGAGTGATCTTGTTATTTCTGATGAACTTAACTTCAAACAGTTATAATGCTCTTTCATTTTTCCTCTTTAAAGTCAACTTCATATCACTGTGACATGACTGTTCTTCAGTGCGGATGAAAGGTAGACTTCAGATCCATGTTCCAATATTGTACAGGAAGCAGAAGTAGTATCTAAACTTGCACATGGCTTGCTAATGTGAGCAACAACATAAACAGTGCAGGGTTGCATGACTGCACTGAATATCAAAGGAACAGAAGGGTGGGTTCGATTGTTTAGTTCTTTTAATTGTTTCCTTCATTTTTAATGGAGGAGTGTATTGAGAGTTCTACTAGAGGACACTGAAATATGGGAGACTGACCTGATAAAGTCAGAGATATTTAGCTGGTAAATACAAGAGAGGTTAGTGTTTCCATACCTTATATTGAGTTTCTGCTTCATGGTATTGTATGTGCACTGTAGGAGAGGCTGTCATTAAGCCAACAGCAGCACAGTCACTGAGGCAGACAGAGACTGAGAGGGGCTTCTTTTATTCATGAATCTGGTATTTGCTACAGACTTTTATTCTGTGAATTATGGTGCATACTTTTGTCCTACCATTTAAAGCTCTGATAGTTTTTACCTGTGTGAACATTAACCAGAAATAAAGAAAAAGCAGTGACCTTCTGTCTGTGGTTTTGAAAGAACTGACTTCTCATTTTATTCGCTTCTTTGCCTGAAATATTTTAGATCACATAGCCTGCATACAACTGTGTAAATTTTTAAGAATGAAGACAGTAACCATAAGCTGCAAATCTTGTTACTATTCTATTGTTGAAACAGGCTTATGGAATAATATAAAAGAATCCCCTGAACTAGGGTAATAAACTATGCGTTGTTTGCAGGAGTCAAGATTTCCTTCAGTAATATATGTTTTGAAGTATATATAGAGAGAATCAGAAATGAGTGATTCTTATTTCTCTTTAAATTAGAATAATATAGCTAGTTTTATAGTAAATGGGTACTCAACCCAAAATTGAAAAAAATCAGTGTGCTGCTATCAGTGTGCTGCTTAAGAAAAACAAGTGCTTTAGGCTGCAGATCTGACATATGCTTGTACTTCCTGGCAATGAATTCTTCACATTTCATGGGATACAGTACGGCTCTCAGCTCCCTGTGGTACGTCTTTCTTCTGCTTTTTCTGCATGCTTTCAGGATCTTTGGATGTAGAGAAAACAGACTAGATTTGCTGTGTAGCTCAGAGAAGTGTTTGTCTTCAGTGGTGACAATGGGGGACCTCTGCATGCAGGGCAAGCTGAATATCAAACTGGGGAGCATCATGCACAACTGAGAAATAGAGAGGAAACTTCCACCTATTTTTTAAAAAAAGACTTAATCATTTCAAGTATTACACATTCTTAGTATAGTGGTAGTTAGAATCCCAGAGATAAAGATGACAGACATTGCTTAAAGCTGGGTTCACTGTTTTATCTCTGTGCTGTATTCCCTGTATTAGGCAGCACCTTGAACACATATGGTCCAAATAGAAAGTAATTGGCAACACAAAGGTCATGCATTTTAGAGAATCTTGACAGGATGCCCACTCCTTTCTGGCAGACACAGCCTAGAGTAACAAATGCTTGATCTTAATTATATATTGTGTTTTGCCTTACAGGAACAAATCCTTTTCTGTGTACTATTCTTAAACCTACCTCCTAATTTGCCCTGTGTACTGAAATTAATGTTACATTCAGTAATTGCTAATCACAGTATCCCAGCTTTTACATAATTCCCCCCCCCCCCTCCATATGTCTAAACATTGTTAGCTATTAATGTGGTGGGAACATTTGTGAGGTCATACCCTATCTCATTCTCTGGTCAAGATTATATGTACAACATAAATAACTTCCATGTGGTTTGGTTGCTTTTAAGGACTCTGATCAAGTGTAGTGTCCCATGCTGCTAGATGCTGCACAAATTCATAGTGATTGATCAGTCTTCTTGTAAACAACTTCTGCAGTTCAGATAAGTAAAGTGTCCAGTAATTCTGTGTGGACGGTCACATCCTTTTCTCTCAGAAAGCTGTTTAAGGGTTTAAGCCATTTTTAGCTCAGAAACACAAACTGTAAATTCCAGGGAACGAGATTTTTCTCTCTTCCTAGCATTTGGTGACATCTGCTAATTGATAAAAGGAATACTAGCTTGCATTGCTGCTGCCTTTTCAAATTTCAAATAAATTCTATTGGTGAGGATGAAAACAGCAATTTTTGAATCCCACTTGTTCTTCTAGTTCATAGTCTGTGTATATACGCTACTCTCTTGAGGTCTCAATAGGACATCTGAAGGCTGGTAAAATGAGTAGCAATGAACAGTTAAGGTGGCTGCCTAGAACTTTTTGCTCCAGCGATCTCCTCATACTGGAATATCCTGAAGGATTGCC